CACCACCACGTCATGATATTGTGTCATTTCATGATGTTGTTGAAATGGAGCTAAACCCTTGAGGACTGCAGAGGGTTCTTTATGAGCAGCTGTATCACTGATTAATGAGCATGTTAGTTTGTCATGTGAGCATCTTTGGGTTTAAATGAGTCATTTTCATCATATTCTCGTATGTTTTTCTACCAACGGTCAATAAATTCTGAGCTTTGACTTTAAAATCAGTCCGCTCACTGTGCTTGGTCATTGTCAGGCTGCAGGTGCTTGACTAACCATCAGGTTATTTCAGGCTCCAGTTCACTAAACCCGGCCCGCAGAACTCCAGACAGACTTGCGGCACTGGCAGGTGTTGTGTGTCAGTTTATGTTCCTGGACAGGTGTTTTCCTCCTGGTTTTCCATCAGACTGATCTCAGAGGGGCTGGTGGTGGCTCTTTGCCAGTAATGGGAGTGATAATGTTTGGAGTCAAACATGGGAAAGTCTCTTTTTATTCAGATTTATAATTATTGTAATTTAGGGTAGGCCAGCATGTCCATAGTGTCGTGGTAAGCACCCAGAGATCCCCGGTTTGTGCCGGTGGTCCCTGACAGGGTCACAGCCTGGCGTGGCTCAACGAGCAGCTGGAGGAGCGTTGTGTATGAGTCGTTACCATAAACATGAACAGGCCTGTTTGTGCTATGAGGCTGGGCTGAAACCATAAACCAGGCTTGTTGCAGGCGAGGTTCTGAGCACGGGCCTGTCTCGCTCCACCTACCAGGACTCACCTGTGGCTGAGGTGAGGCCGTCAGACCTGCTCGAATGAACAGCTGATGAATCTTTAGAGCGTCTCTGCGTTCTTGTCTTTAGAGACACTGGAATCCTTTCAGTCCCTTCTCATTGATGCCCCGCCCCCTAACTGGGACCTCCCTGCAGCTCTGATAGGTCCCAGCCTTGCAGTTGAGGTTTGCTGATGTTGTAACCGCCATGAACAGTCTGCTCGCTTCAGAGTCCTCAAAGATAATTGGCCAATGCAGGTTTCCACAAAGTGATGTAACATGTGAAATATGATATTTTCCTGTTAATGCTGACAAACTGCTACAAATACACTCTGCATATCATGTCCTCTCATCAGCCAGCGTCATGAAGCATCTGTGGGTCCAAGCGCTCCTTCAGTTCCTAGATCGCAGGGCGGTCGGTGCTGCCCTCTGTGGTCTTAATGCGGTGCACGTGAGCTGAGAAGCAAATGCAAAAATCATCAACCGGTGAGAGCACGGTGACTTCCTGTGATCCGGTTTATTACACCGACTACGAGCACAGGCGTTTTACAACATGTCAGCTTTTATATGGGATACTCAGCCTCACACCTGCAGGTTATTGCATTCAGATTTTCAGTAAACTTGACCTCTGACCTTCATCACTTCTCCTCTCCTCCCTCAGCTTACAGTAACCAGCACGTGTACCAGCAGGTAACCGTGGGATACAGGATGCCCCAACCGCCCAACTGCCCAGACTTTCTCTATGACATCATGCTCCAGTGCTGGAGCGCCGAGCCGGCCGACCGGCCCGACTTCAAGTCCCTGAAGGCCCAGCTGGGCCGAGAGGAGCTGGAGTGACACACACACGCACGCACACACACGCACACACACACACACACACGCACACACACGCACACACACACACACACACACACGCACGGACTCTTTGAAGCTCGTCTTCTTGCAAAGCTTCATCTGGTCATCCCTGAGAGCACAGAGAAGTTTAGGTAACAGCTCCCATCATAAGCTAACGAGTTTAGTGAGCCAATCATCTGCAGATTACTGCAGGACGAAAGACGGGTTCACAAACTGTTTTATCTGTTTTGTCCTCCATGGCTGAAGCTGGAGGACGGCCGAGACACTGAGCCGTCAGTGTTTTTAATCACATTACTCATGTTTCACGAGCTTTCCTCAGAGCTGACAGATGAAACCACACGCGTCACATGATGCTTTAGAAGCTACTCATAGCCTCGCTTTGACCTCTGATCTGACCTCTTACTGCCCTCAGGTACCAGTATGCAGAAGCCTAAATTAAATGAAAGTGACTTAAATTAAACTAAACAGGACGTGTGACAAAACCAAAGCTTCTGCCTGGAATGAGGTCCCAGCAGTCATGGTCGCAGGTTCCTGGCCCCTGTCAAACCGCTTTAGTTTGAGTCTCTGCGGCCTGACGAGGCGACGCTGCAAACGTTTACTCAGCAAACTGAAGCGTCGAACACAGCAGTGAAGCGAGGCTCGAGAGGCTGGTGCTGAGAAATGCTTCCTGCACTTTTTCGGGCTTCACTCGTTGTTTCAGGTTTTATTTTGTTGTCACTGTGATGCACTTTTTAAAGCGAATGATTGTGTTGTAGGTCATCATCGTTGGTAATATTACTGACATTTTCCTGCTCTGTAACACTTTCAGCAGCTCTGCTCTGTCGTCTCAGAATAATATTTTCTTCTATGTGAACTTTGTTTACAAACACATTTCATGCAGAGAATAAAAGAAGAAGAAAATCAATTTGCATAAGATTAGAAAGTAACGGTGCAGCTGTAGTGTCCATCTGTGGCCTGCAGGGGGCAGCGCAGTCTCAGGAGCTGCTCTCAGTATATTAAATATGAGTTTTATAAGTTTCTGAAGAGCCAAGTTTTTCCTGCACAGCTGTGAGGAGAGAGGCTGACGCTGCTTACTCTGAAATCAGACCTTTCTTCATTTTTCAAAATCAATTAAAAAAATCTGATGATCAACAAACCAAAGACTCACTATTTCTTTGCTGTATGAGATCTTTAGTGTGTGTGTGTGTGTGTGTGTGTGTGTGTGTGTGTGTGTGTGTGTGTGTGTGTGTGTGTGTGTGTGTGTGTGTGTGTGCGCGCGTGCGCACTGAGGTCATGTGACTGGTTTGGTAGGTTCTGGTTGGCTCTCTAGGAGACGTTTCCAGAAATCTGCTCCAGTTTTCCTCTGAACTTTCTGAAGGACATCTTCTGTCGCTGAACTGAGAGGCATCGTCTTTAATTTTCATCTTCATCTTTGTTTGAGTGAGCTGCTGGAAAATCCTGTCGTGAGGACATTAATGTTGGATGACAATGTTTATGCTCCAGAGTATCAAGCCCCAAATTAGTCAACGTCTGGGTCCTTTCTCAGCCTCGATAAAAGCCGCCGCTCAGAATCTTGGGATCATTGTTGATCAATCTCCGCCGTTTGATGCTCATATCAAGCCTGTGACCCGCTGCTGCTTTTTTCATCTAAGTATTGCTAAACTCAGGACTCTCATCTCCAAAGGTGAAGTGGAGATGCTAGTCCATGCCTTCATCTCCTGGTTAGACTATTGTGACGCACTCTTTTCCTGTCTGTCTAAGGCTTCATTCCCCCCAAGTGATCCAAAATGCTGCAGCAAGGCTTTTAACCCACAGTAATAAGCTCTCCCATATCTCTCCCATGTTAAAGTCCTTGCACTGGCTTCCAGTTGGGTACAGGTATCAGTTTCAAATCCTCACGTTTACGTTCATATCTGTACGAGGTGAGGCCCTCACAGATATCACTGCGCTTCTCCAAAGCGGACATCCCCTGATAGCGCTCTCCTGATTAGTCCACGGACCCGTCTGAAAACGAGGGATCGCGCTTCTGTGGCTTCTTTTAAAAATCAGCTTAAAACACTTCTGTTAGACAGGCGTCAGGGTGATGTTCCTGTGAAATGTTTTTATTTGATATGCTTTTATATTCCCATGTGACGCACTTTGTAACAGCATCTTGTCTTATAAAGATCTGTATAAATACATTTTACTTGCTTTATCATTCTTATTTCATTCTGAGGCTGGAGCCTGGCTAAAGCGCGTGCAGCAGCGAGGCTCTGACTCCGCAGGTATCAAACCTGAATCTTTTTGCTCTTTGATGTTTTAATGAAACGAAAGCGGGGCGCAGCCAGCGCTCTGTGCGTAAGGAGCCGTTTCCATCAGTGCTGTTACATCTGCTGCAGGTAACTGGGTCAGTAACGCCTGGCATCCTGCGCAGCTCAAGTTCACACAGCGCTGGGAGAGTTATAGAAGCACAGCAGCGCCAACACGACAAACTTCCAGCAGACACGGTCAGCGCTGCGCGTGCACGCCCCGTTAACCCAGTTCATCCACAGGGCTGGTAGAAATAGAGCGACACTCTGAGTGACGGAGCTTTAAAGGAGACGGGTCACAGGCGCCTCTGCATCACTCGCTCCTCCTGTAGGCGTCAGGTTGAACCCTGAGCGCGTTGCACCAGCTCAGATTATTAAACACAGGAATATGAGTTCTGTTGGGACGCGCCCTCCAACCAGAGGATCATCATCAGGATCATTCAGTGTCCTGACCTCAGGCCAGCATGTCAGTCTGCAACATTACTGTGAGCTCTAGTTACAGTAATTAGAGCAACTTTTCCACAAATAGTCCCCCCCCCTCACACACACACACACA